AAGACGAATATTTCAACGAAAAAAAAAAAAAGAAAAAAAAAAGAAAAAACGAAGAGCAATCATTGAATGGTAACGCATCCATCGTTACCGTTTCGATCGTGAACCTTTTTTCTTTTTTTCCCTTTCATTCTCACATCCCAGTGCCCGCGAGTGTCCCTCACACAATTCTTCTTGCCTCCAGTTGTTCTAGAGGCACGAGTCGAATGGTTGGGAAACCGGGAATCCCGTAACTTTTAATGAAGATAAACGCAGTCTAGTTTACTGGAATTTCCCGAAAGATAAAGTAAAACGCGTGCATAAGTGTGTGTATGTGTACGCGTACACTTCATTCCATGAATGGAAAGACCATTTCTGATAAAATACTCGGTAATTGCAACGATTCTCCGATATTAATGTTACGTAAAAGTGGATGGTAACGTTGCCACGAATCATAAATGAATAAAGATATTTTCTAATTTTTAATCTGATGATTGTAGATATGTATCCAATTATATGGAAAAATTATGGATTATGAATTATGGATTTTAATAGTGAAAAATTATTTGTTTTCCGATGTAAGAACAAGGATAATATTTGAGAATATTTTTCTTTAATTTATTTCTTAAAATAATTTTTATATGTAACATTAGAAATATTATTTGCTGGGAATAAAAATTATATTATTTGTGAAAGATAGAATCAATGAAATAGTGATTTTCAAATAGCGTAAATATTATTATATTAGAAGGTAATTTTTATTCGTTATTGTAACCCATTCGTAAATGTTTCTGAATTAAAATGTAAAATATAAATAGGAATGAAATATTACTTGCAATATTCAACGACTGTATTAATAGATTAACACTTTACAGGTCTTTGGATGGATAAGTATGGAAAGCAGCCACAAAAAGAACTGTTAAAAGAACAGTTCGGCGCCGATGAATTATTCCTATCAAAAATTCATAAGCGATAAATTGGATATTGAATTCATCCGCGAATCTATTAACTGTGCTCGATTCTCAATTGCTTTTCAATGAAAAAGCCTATAATACAAAAGTATAATACAATATAAATATCCTTTAAAGAAGTAATTGAAAACTTTTTTACTCGAGCACTTCCCCCCTATCTTCGAGAATAATAATTTCTTTTTTATTAAAAAATCTTCTATTCCAATTTTTCCCCTATATGAATAATTAAAAATATCCAAAGTAAACTCGTTTATTTTCAAAATAAAAATATTCGTCGTAATCGAGAAAATTTATTCTATAATAATACGAATAATAATAATTCTACGACAAGTATAATAATAAATTTACGAACATCTAACTGGATGCACCGTATAATTTATAGATTCACCGGAATCCCAGGAATACTTATTTACAATTTCATCATAGACATAACAACCGACCGTATCTCCCTTTATTTGCA